CTCTCCCCGGAAGCTCCCAGGCTTGAGGGGAGCAGTGCCGGGGGAGGCAGGGAAGCCCAGGGCAGGAAACACCTACTCTGCCCAAGGGCACAGGTGAACTTCCCAAAGGAAGGGAGCCCTGAAATGGGCTCTGAAGGATGAGTAGGAGTTCACCAGATGGAAGACTAGAGAGAGTGGGATAAAGAAGAAGGAAGGAAGAATTGAGGGGAGGGAAGAAAGGGAGAAGGAGGGGAACAGCCTTCCAGATACATGGAGACAGCCCTGTGAGTATCAGGGGACAGTGGAGGTGGCACCTGCCATCGGCGCTCTACAAATGCCAGCTGTTATTCAAGTTAAAAGCCAGTTCACTCATTCATGCATTCATGCCTTGCTTCCTTCATTCAACAGGCTTTTACTGAGCACATACTTCATTGCAGCACCAGGGAAGCCCTCTTGGGACTTGCAGTCACACGACAGGCTGTTTACACCGGTCTGTGGCGCTGAGCCTCGGACGCTGATCAGCCACCCTAAAGAACCAAAACGCTAATAACCCCAGAGCCACTGGCACTCGAAGACTTCAGGGTCAGACTCGGCTGGTTCTGCTGAGCGCTGCACGTGTGCAACTCTCTGCTGGACCCGTTCACGCTGCCTGACTCGCCTGACAGCCCACGGCATCCCTGTGGGTTGTGCGTTATGACTTCATAAAGCAGAGGAACTGAGGCACAGAGAGGAAGTGGCTGCCCAGGGCCAGCGCTGGCTGTGGGACTAGGTCTTCTCACAGCTGCCACATGCTGGGGCAGACAAGAGGGAGGGAGGGCGGAGGGACGGAGGGACACAGAGAGACCCGAGCTGGTGAATTAAAAAGAGTCCGTATGCTTTGGCAGCCCTCGCTGTCTTCTCAGGTGGCACCCAGGCCAGTGGCCACTGGTCTGTAGAACACGCTTTTCTCAGGCGCTATCTGCTCCCTTCCTGCAGAGCGAGGTAGAAAAAGGAAAAGCCACGAAAGCCTGTTGTCCACACACAGGAGAAACCCCGCTTTGTTGATGCTTCGCACCCCCCAATGCTGCCACGCGGAACACCGGCCCTCCCCCGCAGAGCCGGGAAAGGCAGCAGGCTTGTGACCCAACCACTCACCGACACTCTCGGGACCTCAACTAAAAACCTAACCAGGGGCCAGGCTCGGTGGCTCACACCTGCAATCCTAGCACTCTGGGAGGCCAAGGCGGGAGGATCACTCAAGGTCAGGAGCTCGAGACCAGCCTGAGCAAGAGCAAGACTCCGTCTCTACTAAAAATAGAAAGAAATTAATTGGACAACTAGAAGTATATAGAAAAAATTAGCCGGGCATGGTGGCACATGCCTGTAGTCCCAGCTACTCGGGAGGCTGAGGCAGTTTGGATTGCTTAAGCCCAGGAGTTTGAGGTTGCTGTGAGCTAGCCTGATGCCACGCCACTCTAGCCCAGGCAACAGAGCAAGACTGTCTCAAATAAAAAGTTAAAAACCTAATCAGGGTTCAGAGTGCACTCAGTTCCTTTTGAAGGAGTGTTTTCTTCTGTGCACACTCCTTGGAAAAGCAGTAGGATCAGAAAAGTTCACAAACCAAACCCAGCCTTCCAGACCTTCAAGTGAGATAGTGGGAAGATGCCTCTAGGACTCCCAAGTCCCCCAGATCACTCCTGCTGCACCCCAAGCTCCCCTCCTAGGGAAGCTTAATGCACAGGGTTATGTGGATAGAGGTTGGACTTAGGAGGGGAAATCACACCTGGCCCCAAGTGCCAGCAGGTTACCTGAGGCCCCTGGCACCCTGCAGAGATGTGAGTGGGGCCTTGCTATCCCACAGTTCTCGTGGACAGAGCAAATGATTCCTCCCTGTCACAGGTGAGACCCATTTGTATGTGACATGCCTTTGGCCCAGGTGACACAGTGCAGATTCATGTATCTCCCTGTCTGGGCCTCAACATCTCAATTTTTACGCTGTGTTGAAAGTCCTGCATAATTAGGAGACTACCCACTCCCTGTTTGGCCTTTTGGGCAGGGGTTGTCATTAGAATGTTGGGCTAGCGCTCTATTAACTGCAAGAATTGTGATTCTCAGATTGAGTTATTTGCTAATATCTGTATGTACCATTCCCCCAAGATATTTTACATTACAGTAAACAACCCCTCCCCCCATCTGAATTCAGAAACGTGAACACAGGTTTCCTAAATACATAGTTACATGTATGGAAGCCATGGTCCTCTGGGCTCCCTTCTCCAACACCCTCCCAACATCGTTTTCAGAAGCAAGCAGGCTTCCACGATGGGCAGCTCCTACACGTCTTTTCCATGCTTTCACAAAAACAGCCCAAACCATCAAACTTACCAGTCAAGATCCATGGCCTTACTCTTTGCTAGAAATATCTCGGTAAAAAAAAAAAGACACTGCAAATAGTTTTCACTGGTCATGAGAGAGGGACCATCACACACTGGTAGTGAGAATGGATGTTATTGGTATAAGCTGTTGGAACGTGTTTTGGTAATATGAGTTAAGTACCTTAAAAATCTCTGAACTTGGTTTTTCATAAAGTATGTCTCCTTACAGTGGTGTACTGTGTGGCCAAAAAAAAAAAAAAGAGAGATAGTTCTCTGTTAAATTATTAGGAAGATGTTCATGATACATTAAAGGAGGTAAGTTAGAAGTGAACGTGTGTGTGTGTGTGCACGTGTGCATGTGTGTGTGCGCGTGTGCGTGTGTGTGTGTGTGTGTGCGTGTGCGTGTGCGTGTGTGTGTGTGCGTGTGTGTGTGTGTGTGTGTGTGAGCACATAGGAAAAGGTCAGGAAGGAGTGTTAAGAGTAGTTATCTGTAGTGGAATTGCCGGGCAATTTTCATCTCTTTTATTACCTGAATCATTTACATCGAGTAGGTATTTCTTTTATAATTAGGAAAAAAGCCATTTTATCTTGAAAAAAGAAAAGGAAAATATAGTCTTGGCAACATGAAATAAAATTTGACAAAACAAAACACTGAAAAATGTGCATGCCTTTGACCTAGTGGTTTCACTTGGAATCAGTCCTAAGGAAATAATCTGAAATGCAAACAAGGCTTAATGGCACAAAAATATTAATTTCAGCAGTATTAATATCAACAAACTTGCCAGCAAGCTCAATGGCAACCAAAGAGATACTTTATGACACAGTCATGTCACGGAATATTGTATGCCATTTTGGAGGATTTTGAAGAATTTGTATTAACATGAAAAATTTGCTTATGTCATAATATTCAATGAAGAGCAAGATAAAAATAACCAAATTTGCCCTAAGAACAGAGGCCCATGTAGAAAAATGCACAATCAACTTGATGAAGCAAATTAAATTCCTAGACAAGTTGAAAACAGACCCCTCCCCGTCTCAGATTTCTTTCAAAGTGATCACAGCAAATTTTGCCAGAGCCTGAAGTCCCTGTGATGTCTCTAACAGGCTCACGACTGTCGGCTCCATTGTAGGCAGAGCCGGGGTGACTCTGTGCTGGTGATGTGAACAGGCTCCTCTTCAAGTATGTTGACAATGCAGTTGTTAGTGGATAATACGAAATGCTTCTTCTGCACACTTGGGCAGCTCTCCAAAACCCTAACACCTCCTTTGTCAAAACAGAAACATCATCCACATTCTTTGCTGCTGAATGAAGTCTAAATGCTAGAAATGAACAGTTGCACCCAATTGTGAGCAGGAGCTGCCACCCACTTGCGTTGCCCTCTTCAGTCTGCGACACTAGGCACATTCTCTAGCAGGGAGGGGAGGTCCTTCTCTCTGGGCCCCACTGCCACGAGGGGAGGCTTTCCTGGAGGTGCTGCTGCTCAGCGTCTGCCCACCCCGGCTCTCACATCACCCCACGTGCCTCTGGGCATGGGACGGCACCGCCAAACACCCTGGGACCTACGGAGCGGGCAGCCCCGAACGTGGACGCTTTCTAGGCCTGCGCTGCTGGCAGGTGCCTTTTTATGTTCACTCTCCTTTAAGCCTCGACTCTGAAAAGACATCTGGTGGGTTCGGATTAGAAACGAGGTTGACAGACACTGCACCCTGTTTTGGCTTCATTCTTCTTTTTTAATTGTAAAAGTAATATATGCTCTTAAAAGTATAAAAAGTATATAAAGTAGACAATGAAAGTCACTTCTCAGCTCCACCAGTCTCACCTCCCAGAGTGCGATGTAATCCTTTTAAGAAATCATTCTTATTCTTCTTTTAAAAATTTCTTATTTCCAGGCCTGGCGCGGTGGCTCATGCCTGTAATCCGAGCACTCTGGGAGGCTGAGGCGGGAGGATTGCTCAACGTCAGGAGTTCTAAACCAGCCTGAGCAAGAGCGAGACCCCCGTCTCTACTATAAATAGAAATAAATTAATTGGCCAACTAATATATATAGAAAAAATCAGCCGGGCATGGTGGCGCATGCCTGTAGTCCCAGCTATCGGGAGGCTGAGGCAGGAGGATCGCTTGAGCCCAGGAGTTTGAGGTTGCTGTGAGCTAGGCTGATGCCATGGCACTCTAGCCCAGGCAACAGAGTGAGACTCTCTCTCAAAAAAAAAAGAAAAAAGAAAAAAGAAAAAAAAAAGAAAGACTGGAAGATATATATCAAAATATGAACAGAGAGTCATCTTTGGATATCAGGATTAGAGTTGACTTTCACACATTTCTGTGGGTTTGTCTCTCTTCCCCAAGATGAACATGCATCAGTTGTGTAATCGGAAATAAGAATTTTTTTTTTTTTGAGACAGAGTCTTGCTTTGTTGCCCAGGCTACAGCCAGTGCCATGGCATCAGCCTAGCTCACAGCAACCTCAAACTCCTGGGCTCAAGCGATTCTCCTGCCTCAGCCTCCTGAGTAGCTGGGACTACAGGCATGCGCCACCATGCCCAGCTAATTTTTTCTATGTATTTTTAGTTGTCCAATTAATTTCTTTCTGTTTTTAGTAGAGACAGGGTCTCTCACTCTTGCTCAGGCTGGTTTCCAACTCCTGACCTTGAGCAATGCACCTGCCTCGGCCTCCCAGAGAGCTAGGATTACAGGCGTGAGCCACCGCGCCCAGCCCCAGTCTTTATTCTATGCACATATGCCTGAACTATTGCAAAGTTAGGATTGTTCTATAATTCTAATATTAGTATTACTTTTTAATTTAATAATATGTTATACCATTTTCTAATGCTATTAAATATTCTTTTGTAACAGCTTTATCGAGGTATAACTGGTACACAAAACAACTGCACATGTTTAACATACACTAGTGGCTGAGTCGGACATACACGTACGCCCATGATCCACCACCACAATCAAGGTAATAAACATATCAGACATCTCCAAAAGTTTCCTTACATCCTTTTGTTTTCTATATTGGTTTTTGTTTTGGTAGTAAGAATACTTCACATGAGATCTTCCCTCTCTCTTAGCAAATGGTTAAGTGCCTAATACCATGTTGTGAACTATAAAAATATGGACACTGTGTTGTGCAGCAGATCTCTAGAACTTGCTCATCTGATATAACTGTACTTTTATACCCATCGAAAAACTCCTTAATTCCCCCGCCCCCTATTTCTTGCCAACCACCATTCTATTTTCTGCTTATATGTGTTCAGCTATTTTAGATCCCCCATGTAAGAGGAATCATGCAGTGTTTGTTTTTCTGTGGCTGACTTGCTTCACTTAGCGTAACATCTTACAGTGCCAACAGAGTTGTGGCAAATGGTAGGATTTCCTTCTTTTTACGGCTGTATAATATTCCATTATAGGTGTTAATATATGCCACATTTTCTTTATTCATCTGCCATCGGACATTCAGGTTATTTCTACCTCTAGGCAATTGTGTCTAACGCTGCAGTGAACACGGACGTGCAAATATCTCTTTGAGATTCTGCTTTGGATTCCTTTAAATCTATACCCTGAAGTGGGATTGCTGGATCATACGGTGAGTCTGTTTTTAATATTCTGAGGAACTTACATACTGTTTTCCACAGCCGCTGCCCCATTTCACGTTCCCACCAGCAGGGCAAGGTCCTGATTCACCTGCCTTCTCACCAGTACTTGCTGTTTTCTCTTCTTTTGATAGTGGCTGTCCTACAGGGCGTGGCGTGATATCTCATCATGGTTTGATCTGCATGTGTCTAATGGTCAGTGGTGTTGAGCATCTTTTCAAATGCTTGTTGGCCATGTCCGAGCCTTTTAACACACATTGCCAAACCTTCCTCCAGAAATAATGGGACCGTTGAAATTTCACCAAGAACGTGAGGGCAATTCTCCTCGCTTCCTTCCAGTCGACATGGTATGTCCACCGAGTGTTTAACTGTCCCCACGTGATGCAGAAGACACATTAAGCCAGCCGTTCACGTTTGCCTTGTCATGGTAGCGGCCTAACACGATCTTTGAAGATGAAATGGCTTTGAGCTGGACGCTGCCGACCTCAGTTTTCTTCTATGACCAGCAGCACCGGAATCCTAGTCTTTGTTTTGGAGAGATTTCGGTATCCCTCTCCGGTTTTTAAACAGCTGTCTTGCCCCTGAGTTTTAACATTGAGATTTAAACGGACGCTGAATGTGGGGCGTTTTGAGCATTCACATCAAAGGCTGCTCCAGAAAGAAGCCCTCTCGTCGGAGTGACAGGCTTAAGAAACCCTTGCCTTGTTATTCAGGGTCCTCCACTATGGGGCCACTGTCTTACTCCGTGTTCCTGCCAATTCTTCCGTAATACAGTAAAAATCAAAGCCTTGAGTAATAGGAGGTTATTTTCAAGTGTTATTCTTTTTTTTCTTTAGTAGAGCAATTGCTTGTTTGTTTTTTGTTTTTTTTGTTTTGTTTTTTTTTCAAAGAATGTATAGAAATTTATCGAAAATGTCTCAGGGATGAAGGAGGAGCTTACACTTTACATCACAACAACAACAACAAAAATGTATATTTTGGGATATTCCCCTTCTCTCACCCCAAAATTCTATATGCGGTGGCCAATTGCTTGTTAATAAATAAAGTTTAATTGAAAACTCTTTTGAGAACCCTCATGAGTAGACAGAGGCTCGACGGTGTGTTCCCAGCCCCCAGCGGTGACAAGGTGAAAGCAAGGAAGTGGCTCTGTGTCGGCTACTGATGTTCCTCCCAAGGAGCCCTCTTTTTAAAATTGGGGTTGCACACATTTCCCAAGAGTATCTGCATGTGAGCTGAAAAATTATGACCACTCTTCAGGCCAGCCGCTCGCTAGGAGTTTTATCCATAGTCACTTCAGCCAGGTAAATGCAGCTGCTTTCTATGACAGATATTTCTGGAAATTTCCAGATTCGGAGGGTGTAAGCCCACCCCCAAGATTCTTAAAACCATCTAACAACTTAGTAACAGGCAAAGGCCAAAAGAAAGAGCCACACACCAAATGTCATGTTATTTCATGTCCTAACTCATCATGAAAAGTGTGTGAACCATAGCCAGGCGTGGTGGCTCACGCCTGTAGTCCCAGTTACTCGGGAGGCTGAGGCAGGAGGATCACTCAAGCCCAGGAGTTCGAGGCTGCAGTGCCCCATGACCGTGCCTGGGGATACCCACTGCACTCCAGCCTGGCAACAGAGGGAGACCCACTCTTAAAAAAAAAAAAAAAAAAGAAAAAGAAAAAATGGTACGTGAACCATAGTATGGAAATCCATTCAAAATATATACAATGTACCAGAAAATTGTGTATCAATCAGATCCCAACATAAGACAAAGACACCCCAAAGAGTACAATTCAAGGAGGGTTTATGTATAAAACTGTGGGTACAGGGAAACCCCGCAGGATAGAGCAGCAAGCTGGGGCTAGCAGCAGCAGAGCTGTTACACCCCAGGCCCAAAAGGCAAGGAAAGTGAGAAGTTCCCAGAATCCAGAGAGAAAGCTCTCTAGGGTCTCAAAAGAAAGCCTGAAAGGAAAGAAGTGCTGATTCAAGCAACTACATGGGTAAACCTCGAAAACGTCATGCACAGACATGTATGATTCCGTTTATATGAAATGTCCAGAATGGAACATCCACAGAGACAGAAAGTAGATTAGTGGATGTCAGGAACTGGAGCAAGGGTGAAATGAGGAGGGATTGCCGATGGGCTCCAAGTTTCTTTTTGGGGTGATAAAAATGTTCTGGAATTAGATAGTGGCAATCATTGCACAACCTCACAAATGTACTACAAACCACTAAACTGGTGCACCTGAAAAGAGAAACATTTACGGTATGCAAATTATATCTCAGTAAACTTTACTTTAAAAACACGTGTAAGTTTTTAAAGGTGGCTGGTGGGAAGACACAGCCAGCCCAAGGCCACCTGGGGAGGGGGGCAGGAGGAGGGAGACCAGGGGGATGGAAACACTGACCCCCCCCCCTTTCCTCCCTCCCTCTGACCCGCCTGGGTTCCTCATCAACCAAACCCAGCTGCAAGCCCTAGCTGAGCAAGCAGTTGGTGCAGTGCACACGGCTCAGCCCCCCAGACGCAGCAGAGTGGAAGGGGAGGCAGCATAGAGCTGGAGGGCGCATGGAGGGCGTCTGGCACACCATGGTTAACAGATAATAAGAACTCGAAAGTGAGATGAAGCCGGGGGTAGTGAGAGTGCATAAAATGCGTTCCATCAGGTACGCTGTGGTCGCCTGAGTGAGTTCAGATTTGGAATATGAGCTTGCCAGCAACCAGGAGAGAGAGGGAAATCCACCAGGAACGAGATCCGTGGCTCCACTAGGCAAAGGGAAGCTCACGAGGAAGACACACCTGGCTCGGGGGGTAGGGGTGGGGACGGGCCATGTGTTTGACATGTATCAGTTACGGGTGAGGAAGATGCCAAAGAAATTGGGCAAGGAATGTGCTGCTGTGCTCTGCCAGCTCAAGACTCAAAAAGCCTTCCCTGCCTACACCCGCCTGGAGGACTGCTGTCCCCTTTAAAAGTCCCGTCAATACCACAGAATCATTGTGAGGTGCAGGAAGGTGGCCCCATGCACTTGCTAAGGGCTCAGTCCTGGAGTCAGACCACCTAGGTCAGACCCTTGCTCCAACAGTTAATTCTCTATGACCTATGCAAATGGACATCATCACTCTATGCCTTAGTTTCTTAATCCGTAAAATGGGAATAACTAAAACCCACACCCCATACGATCATGAGGATTAAACGGAACGGTGCTTGGCGAGGGCTGAGAGCTGTTCCTGGCACAGAGTTAGCGTCTAAGAAATGTGTAGGTTGACTCTGTGGACTACAACCATGATGTAAGAGTTCAGGAGCCCTTTGCCATGAATGATCTCATCTCATTTGCTCATGTTTACAGGGGAAGAGAAGGAGGCCCAGAGAGGGGTGTGATCTATCCCAAACCACGTGGGCAGAAGAGGCAGAGTCAAGGAGAGAGCCCAGGCCAGACGCGGTGGCTCAACAACTCAATATCATATAACACATCCATTTTCTTTAAAAGATGAAAACATTTTAATTCAAAATATAAAGTTCAATTAAAAATTCAGAATATATAATATAATCTCAATTACATAAAAATAGATAAGGCTGGGCTCAGTGGCTCACGGTCTGTAATCCTAGCACGCTGGGAGGCTGAGGTGGGAGGATGGCTTGAGGTTAGGAATTCAAGACCAGCCTGAGCAAGAGTGAGACCCCATCTCTATCAAAAATAGAAAAAATTAGCCAGACGTGGTGGTACATGCACCTGTGGTCCCAGCTACTTTGGAGGCTGAGGCAGGAGGATTGTTCGAGTTTGAGGTTGCAGTGAGCTGCTATAGTGCCACTGCACTCTATCTGGAGTGGTGGAGCAAGACTCTGTCACGAAAAGGAAAGGAAAGGAAAGGAGAGAAAGAAAGGAAAGGAAAGAAAGGAAAGGAAAGAAAAGGAAGAGGGAAAGGAAAGGAAAGAAAAAGGAAGAAAGAAGGAAAGGAAAGGAAAGGAAAGGAAAAGAAAAAAAGGAAAGGAAAGAAAAGGAAAAAGAAAGAAAGAAAGAAAAAAAAGAAAAAAGAAAAGAAAAGAAAAGAAAAGAAAAGAAAAAAGAGCATAGCTTCTGGTCTGAACACACAACAGAAATTCTCAGGGGTGGCTCCTGTGTTTATATTTTGCCTCAGAACAGTTCCCTGGGTGGCCCAAGCAGATTATGGACACTGGGAGAGCAAAGACTTCAGGACCTAGTCTATGCCGTGCATGCAGTAGGCATGAAATGCTCATGCATGAATCTGCAAACTTTTGTTACCCTTGCCTGGCAAAGCAGGACCTCTTTGAGGGTAAAGCCTGTACCTGCTTCTTCTTTGTCCCTCTGGTACCTGGCACAGGAGACTGGCATACATTGAGTGCTTAATAAATATTTTACATGTATTAATAATTAACGTCTGAGGCTATTTATAAATAGCTCTGTGGGAAAAGCCCAGTTGGGATTATGGCCTGTATCAGAGGTTACATTCTCAGCTCACTTACTAAAGGTCATGTCAAAACATGGCTGCAATTCACCCAAGAAGTCTGGCTTCCGTGTAATGGCATAATAGTGTAAATGCCATTTAGGGTGACATGTGAACTGATCCCAGAGGTATAAGTCATCCTGTGCTCATTCTGCTAGTTTATCCAAGGAAAATCAAGCCCTGGGCCCAGTGTTCTACATTTTCTTTATTTTTTTTATTATTTTATTTTACTTCATTTCATTTTATTTTATTTTTCGAGACAGGGTCTACCTCTGTTACCTAGGCTGGAGTACAGTAGCATCATCATAGCTCACTGCAACCTCAAACTCCTGGGCTCGAGTGATCCTCCTGACTCAGCCTCCTAAGTATCTGGGGCTACAGGCATGTGTCACCAATGCCTAGTTAATTTTTAAATTTTTTTTTTTGAGACAGAGTCTCGCTTTATTGTCCAGGCTAGAGTGAGTGCAGTGGTGTCAGCCTAGCTCACCGCAACCTCAAACTCCTGGGCTCAAGCAATCCAAACTGCCTCAGCCTCCCCGAGTAGCTGGGACTACAGGCATGCCCCACCGTGCCCGGCTAATTATTTCTATATATTTTTAGTTGGCCAATTAATTTCTTTCTATTTTTTTAGTAGAGACGGGATCTCGCTCTTGCTCAGGCTGGTTTTGAACTCCTGATCTTGAGCAATCCACCTGCCTCGGCCTCCCAGAGTGCTAGGATTACAGGCGTGAGCCACCACGCCCGGCCTTAATTTTTAAAATTTTAAATAGAGATGGGGTCTCACTATATTTCCCAGGCTGTTCTCAAACTCCTGGCCTCCAGTGATTCTCCCATCTCAGCCTCTTTGGGATTATAGACATAAGCCTCTACACCCAGCCTCCATTTTATTTTAAATAAATTCCATTCTCCATCTGTAGTGGGTAGAATTGTGTTCACCCAAACAATATGTCAAGTCCTTACCCCTGGTACCTGTGAATGTGACCTTATTTGGAAATAGGGTCTTTGCAGATGTGATGAAGTTAAGATGAATTTACTGGACAAGTGTGGGCCCTAATCCAGTGACTCGTATGCTCCCAAGGGGAGAAATCAGACACACAGGGAGAAAGCCATGCGATGACGACAGGGGCAGAGGGAGGACTGTCACATGTACAAGCTGAGGAATGCCCAGATTGACAGCAAGCAGGTAGCTTGGAGGAGGCCAGGAAGGACCTTCCTCCTTGGCCCTCGAAGAGCTCTTGGCCCTGCTGACATTTTGATTTTGGATTTCTAGCTTCTAGAATTCTCTCCAGAGAGAAGACATTTCTGTTGTGTTAAGCCACCCAGTTTGTGGTGATTTGTTACGGCAGCCCTAGGAAAC